ATACTACATATATAGTACTACATGTGGACCTCTCTCAGATTTGTTTATTTCGTGATGATATCTCAATTCTCTAATTTTGGTGAATATTTTTGTCATTTTGGTAAAAAGCGATATTTTTGACTTCTTGTTAAAAACCGCAAGTTCGATTGCTTTGATATTACATATATAGGTACTACATGTGGACCTCTCTCAGATTTGTTCATTTTGTGATGATATCTTCAATTCTCTAATTTTGGTGAATATTTTTGTCATTTTTGGTAAAAAGTGATATTTTCGACTTCTTGTTGAAAACTGTAAGTCCGATTGCTTTGATATTACATATATAGGTACTACATGTGGACCTCTCTCAGATTTGTTCGTTTTGTGATGATATCTTCAATTCTCTAATTAATTTATTTTGGTGAATATTTTTGTAATTTTTGGTAAAAAGTGATATTTTCGACTTCTTGTTAAAAACTGTAAGTCCGATTGCTTTGATACTATTCATATTGTTCATTTTTTAATGATGTCTTCACTTCTTTAATTGAAATGTGCATTGCTAACAGCGGAGCTATCTCAGCCGATAGGCTGCTTGTTTTTAAAACGTTTTGTTTAAGTTGTCGGCGTTTTTTGCTAAAACCTATTTGTTTTGTCATGGACAAGGACAGTTTTTCGAAAAAAAGAATCTGAGGTGAAGTGGACACTAGATATGATGTAAGGAGGAAGTCCACCCCAACCTTTTCTCGTTATTTTCACGGTTTTCGTCCACCGATTTAGCCCTTCGAAACGTTGTAAATACTTACACTATGACTATACGCATTACTGCTACCGCCCACAACACAACCTTTAACCATCATAAATGTTTGTTGTGAAAACAACTTCTAAAAACTCTCTCTCTCAAAAATAAAATAAAATAGACAAAAAAAAAGAAACGACGATCAAAAAATTTATATTGTTTAAAAGTATGTTGAATGACAGTGATATAAAGTACGGCCCAAGGGTATGGCTTTCTCTCATATTTAAGCATTTAGTGGCGGACTTTCGACGAGAGTCGGAAATCCGGACACAGTCGACCGTTTCAGGATAGGTGGGCGTGGCTACAGCACGGGAAGTATTTCAAATTTACTTGGATACGAGTGATCATTTTCAGAAAAAAAAAATCTATAACTGCCCAGATCTAAAATGGGAAACGTGTGGGTGGGCATTGCACAGGCACTTTAAATCTATGCTAAATACGTGGTTTACATCATGTTATCAATTTCATGGAGCTCTGCAGCTTTGGGGTGATTTTCAGTTCACATGTTCAACAAAAGTAGCCTCAGAGATTTCCAGCATAATTCTTGTGACTTCATATTTTGTTCCACTGAATTTCTATACTACTGCCCTCTAGAGCGTAATGCAAATTATTTTGTTTTTAAGGATGCAATGAGTTGTTCCACTACACTGCCCATAAGTTAAACCAACAATTTTGTTTAATAGCAGGCAGATGATCTCTGCTGGTTTCAGTCTTGCATTCAAAGCTCTGCCCTAAATAGTTGAATGAAAGTTATCTGTTTGTATTTAGGTGCACCATATTCTAATAGTACAGCATTGCATTATGATCCATGCAATGACAGAAACCTGGTACAGAAAAGAGAGCCTCCATCACTGTCGATACCACCTCACCACCAACAGCAGCAGCAGCAGCAGCAACAACAGCAGCAGCAGCAGCAGCAGCAGCAGCAACAACAACAACAACAACAACAACAGCAACAGCAGCAACAACAACAACAACAACAACAACAGCAGCAGCAAAATGTGTTTCCCCAGTTTCAGTACACTCAACAAAATCAATTCAAGAGATTCCCAGAATTGTCAATGCAACATTCCCACCCAGGGGTTAGTACACAAATCCAAAACTTCAATCTGAACATCATTTAAAATACTAATTGCCTACCATTGTCACGCTCGCGTTTCTTACATTACCTTCGCTCCCTTCTTAACATTATTGGAGTCGATGCCAGGAAATATTCTGGTCATTCCTTTCGAATTGGGGCTGCCACCACAGCAGCACAGGTTGGTGTTCAAGACCACTTAATTAAATCTTTGGGACACTGGTCATCTGACAGTTACAATCGTTATATTCATATTTCTGACAAGTCCTTATTTGCAGCCCAGTCAGCATTAGTTAACAAGTTT